CGAAGTTTCATCGAAAATTAAAATTTTGAGTTTTTGTGGGTGTAACATTAGAATAGTTCTGGGGGTGTAATAGTAGAATAGTACCAAATTTTCCTCCAAAAAATAAGTGTGGCTTAAGCCGGTTTAAACACCTCTCCGAACGTATTTGGATTATTTTCGACTTCCTTTGGCAGACGCTCTTGCTACTCTTTGATTTCCAGATATTGCTGAAAGAAGCTCCATTCGGAACATTGGTTGTCGAGGAGCATCTTGTTAGAGGAACTTTGGAAGTGAATCAAAACGTTGAGGTATCTCACGGGAAACAACTTCTGAAGGGCATAATTCAGCATGTGAAAGACTGCAGCACGTATAACGTTGGTAAGTCCTCGTTTATCAATTGATTTCTCGTAGTGGTGTCCTCATATACGATCCTAGATATTTTTAGTGTTCAACGATGGAGACGAGAAAGTGTTACGCCGTACACAAATGTGTCTCAAGGGAGCGAGACATTTCGATAGTGAATCAAATTTGGATCAAATGCCGCTATACAATCCTGAACAGTTTTGTGCTGCTCCTAAACCGCAAACAAAAACCAAGAAAGCGAAGAAGTTGGTTTTCAAAGTTTCGATGATCCTTTCTTCCGCAATTGTCCTTCAGTCGATTTGATGTTCTTTGTCAATTTTTGGCGCCTACACGTTTTGCATTGAGCTATAAATTGACGAAGAGGTAGCAATCAGTAGCATTTTTGGCAAAAGAAAGTACCATGTATCTCAATCTCACTGTTGATTCGATCAGAACCCAGTTTTGGGTACTTGCCCGTGTATCAGCTGGTTTGAAGTTACCGAAAGACCATAACCGATAAGAATCACAAACAGTGTCCATCTGGTGCATTTTTTATAGGACCAAGCGACGGAAAGATGACGACAGTGAGGATGACGGGGGAAAGAAGAGAAAGAAGAGAGCGGCCGCTTCAGCGGCTTCAGTAGCCATTGGAGAAATGGATCAGGTTCGTTGTTACATTTTTACACTGCCTTTTCTTTTGTTTTCTATTATGTTTCTCTGCCATGTTTTTGAATGTTTTCTTGTGTGTGAAGTATAAAGATGATCGATTGTTCAGGGGGATACAGAAGGCAGCGGCGATGTGGATATGTCAGGAAGTGACGACGAATCGAGTGATGGAGAAGTTGAAGCCGAGAAGGAAGACAAGAAAAAGAAGGACAAGAAGGAAGAAGACGAGAAGAAGGAGGATACTAATCGCAAATCCTCGCAGGCTCAAAAAACGGAAGCCAATCGTTTAGAGGAAATCCGTGAGAAGGTTGTTTTCGTCTTCATAGAAATCTTTTCAATCCTCTCTGTGCTATTTTTATGAACTACTTTGCAGCTTCGAGATGGAGTCGTCGTTTGTGTTTATGACGACTCCCAGCATCGTGGTAAATGGTTTCCAGCAGTGGTTGTTAATCAAAAAGCGTACAGGTTTGTTATGAAAGGATAGCATCGGGGATCTCTAATAGAAACGTTTGCTTTCAGGGATGCCAACGTCAAGTTCAAAGGCTTTGGCAAGAATGAGATTCCCTTGAGGAATTTTCAGAATGGCAAATAGTTCGTTTTTACTGGAAGCGTTCTACGAATGTTGGTTGAGTATGTATGTCTCTAAAATTTCAGTTTGCTGGGTTCGTTAGCAAACCTGACGCTTTTTGAAGACCAACCAATAAACAAGAAAGTTCTCGATTCTATGAGTAATGCGCAACGGTTGGCAGTTGACCGCGCCAACTCTTTTCAGAGCAAAGGTTAGTGCTTTTTAAACTTTTGGCGTATCTTAATAATTTTCAACTTTCATTTTTTATACACTTTACATACACTATACATTTACTTTAAGTTCTTTTAATTATTCGATTCTCAACTATTATTGTTTATCACATTTTGTACGAAACTCAGTCCCTATTTAGTTGTAGTAAGTACTGCGAGAATATTCGCAGTATTACTTGTTGCTCTGGAGAAACTCACGTGAGAAATACTTGATATCATGACCGTCTCTTAGACACCTATCCCTTCCACTTGTCGCTTCATCTAGCAGTCCCTGAGTTCCTCGCGTAACAGATTTATTCCTCATTCTTGTGCCTATTTGCTTCTATGTAGTCTAATTCTTATTACAATACCTCACCTATCTTCGAATTTTAATTCGTGCACTGAAATTCGGAAATAGTACGAATGTTTCGTTTCTATTCATTCGACCTCTTCTGTTAGATTTCGAGTGACAAATAGTTCCCAATATTCGTGCTAGGAAAGGAGCGCAAGGCCCAAAAACACTTCATTTCGTGCTTCGGTTTCCAAGGCAATCGTTATCGTTAACTTGAGGAATTATACAATACGTTTTAATGTGAACTGGCTTTGAATATAAACCACTATTCACTGCTACGCTCCTCGAGCTTTTGATGCTTTGTTAGCTCTATACTGCACTTGAAAATTGAGTTTCTCCTCAGATGTTTTCATATGTTCATCTTCGAATACTGAGAAAATTGAGCATATATGTATTCTTGATTTTGATTCCATTCAGGGGCTCTTCCCAGTAGCTGGACAGCGAAGGAAATCTATGCGGACACGTCACCACGAAGAAAAGACTCTGCTAAGAGCTCTTTTGCTCCAAAAACTTCTAAAAAGGACGAGGCCAATGAACCAAGCAAGAAGGACGATGACTCGAAGAAGAAGAAACCTGAACCTAAGAAGTGAGACTTCTACTTGGCTTAATTTTTCCCCTGATTCAAGTTGTGCAGAAGTTTGAACAACTTAGCATAGCAAGAGTTTGTGAAATCACTTTATCAATACAGAACACAGCTCCATATAAGGTTGACATATCGGAGCCTGAAAGTTAGAGTCGCTTTATAAGATTAGTCGATGGAGCATCTCAAGGCCCTACAAGGCCTTCGAGGTCAACTTAGAAGAGAAATCGCTCAGATCTATGGTTACCCTTTGAGCGTGGCGTTTGAACTTTCGACAGTCGTTTCTATCATCTCCCCCGGGAGCCGCCTTCTGGCAATCAGGAAGGATGTGATGACTAAGTTGATCACAAAGGTCTAGTGGGGTGCTGAGCTGTTCGATCGGCTAATAGTATAAGTCGATAGCATCTTTCAGGCTTCGGAGAGGGCGGGTTCACCGAAAAGTCAACTTTGTGTGGAGGCGTAGTAATGTAATGACAACAATAATAATGCCAAGGCTTTTCATTAGCTTCGCGGGAGCAAGAGTTCCTATTTCTTGAAATGATTCTTTTTTCAAGAGCGGAAAGTTCATGCAGTTCTGAGAGCAGTGATGAGGAGGAGTATGGGGAAGAGCGTGATCTGTTTGTTGCACAGTTGTACAAGTTCCAGGAGGAGCGAGGTACGGAATTCTATTGTTACTAATATTCTTCATAGAAGTTCCAGACTATGAAAGCATCCAATTATTTGTAGGTACTCCAATTAATCGAGCACCAATATTGGGTGGGAAAGACATAGATTTGTATCGCTTTTATCGAGTGGTTCAAGACTATGGAGGGTGCAAAAGAGTGACAACAAATCAGTTATGGAGAAAGGTGAGCAATCTTAGAAATACATAAATTTTCAGTTTTCTGCTAAATGTCGTGATTTGAAGGTACTATGCAAACTTCATTTGGAAGGTTGCCCTGGAGCGACACCGGTTACCGTGCGAAAGGCCTACATCAGGTAATATCCTTCCAGACCCTTTGTTTCGTTGTATTGGACTTGCTATTTTGCATCTCTCTGCTTGTTTTTGTATTTTCATTTATTTTTTCATAAGTTTCAACTTTGGACTTTCTTCTGATCAAAGTTTTTGACCTTCATCAATCTCGTATTGTGATGAGCCCATTCATTCGGGCTCCATTTAAATTTTAATTGCGTGCTGAATGGAAACGTGGTTTATACAGTGCACAACAGTGCTTTTATCCTCCCAGACGAGTCTGGTCGGCCTATGCGGATGTCGATCCGGGATCAAACCAGTGACCATGCGTGTGAGGTGGTGCGTCACTTTCCACTACACCATTCCAGTCCGCCCTTTTTCCAGAATTTAGGTTTCCCACTTACTGATTTTAAATTGGAGATTTATGGGATACTCATATATTTTTGCTCCTCTGGCCAATTTGCAGAGCGAAATTCGCGCAGCTTTCTAAATTTTTCCTGGTCTATATATGTACACGTACTTCTGCTATTACGCATTTGCATCCTTTCTTTCGATTTGTTGGAGATGCGTGTAGGATTAATCAGTTCAACTATTCCCTCTTCCGCGCGCTTTAAGCAGTAGGCCACCAGAGAGCTGTTACCGAAGGTATTTTGGATGGCGAATCTTCTTCGCATTTTTTGGCAAGACCCATGCTTAGCTACTCTGCCTCAATATACGACTTGCAATAGAGTGCTCACTATGCTATGTGACCATAATGATTGGTTCATTCAGGTATCTAGCGCATTTCAACTCTTTCTACAAGAGACTCGGCTGGTCGTTGGATGAACTTTCAATAACGTCCACTATCAACAGTCCACGAGAACGCCGTTTGATCCGCCCTGCGGAGTTACTCAATCAGAAGGTGTGTTCTCTGAAACCCTCTTGAATTTCCGCTATTTGTCTGTTTCTTTCTTTTCTTTTCGTCTTGTGATTTCACAAAAATCTCATTCCATAAAAGTTCTTTATTTTTACTATAAATGCTCATTCAGCAGCCCATGAAAAGAAAAAAGTCAACCGCTTCGGAAACAAAGGAGAAGACTACAAAGAAAGGGAAGGAAAAGTCTGAAGGGGCTGATTCAAAAGAAACGTCACGAGATCCTGAACCCTCTACCAGTAGAGAGCGCTCAGTGTGGGTTTTATTATTGAATTGCATAAAATAGGTAGAAGTGACGTGCAAACAGACGATCTGATGTTAGGTCTTCTCCCGTCTCATCTGTCCACGAAAGATCGAAGAAGGGAGATAAAGAAGACGATGGAAAAAAGTCTGACCGAAAACAGAAGGATGAAGAAGTCAAAGAAAAGGTTTCCGTCGCACATGCCAAAACCTATTTATATTTAATTGAACTCTTCTGTTTAGGTAGACAAAAAGGACAAAAAGGAAGCGGATAAGAAGGATAAAAAGGAAAAAGTGAAAGAGAAGGAAAAAGATAAAGAAAAAGACAAGGAAAAGGAGAAAGAAAAAGAAGAGAAAATAAAAGAAAAGGATGAAAAGGGTAAAGCTAAGCGTGAAGAGAAAGCTAAAGAAGTAGAGGATAAGTCAGTCGAAAAGGTGGTCGAAAAAGCCAAAGAACGGCCTGAAATCAAAACTGAACGGGAATCTCCTGCTACTGTAAGTTCGCCCATTGTAAAGTCGGAACCGGAAAGCCTAGCAGCGCCGCAACGAACTGACCGGCCTGAAAACGAGCAGGATGTTCGGGATAAAGCCATGACCAGTGATAAAGAGCCAGTTATCGAAAAGAAGGAGCTTGACGTCAGCGATGAGGATGGCGATGGTTAGTGTATTTATTTTTCGTAAAAGCTATCTGGTTGTATTGCAAACGCTTCAGGAAAGCGTAAAAAAGAACGAAAGAAGGTGCAGAAATCTGAGAAGAAAGGCGGAGATGCTAACGACCCTTCAAAGTCAAAGGATGCGGATGAAGGATATCGCCCGGCGAACATGTAAGGGGATATCCCTTTCCTTTTCAGATATCAAGTATGTTGTCATTTCTTCGTTCAGTGTTTCACGATTTTATCTTGGACAAAAAGTCCGGGCACATCATCATGGTAGATGGTACGACGCACGTGTTGTCACCGTTGAACAGCCGTCGGTCAAAGAGATGGTGGAGATAATGGAAATGCATGATGAGGAGGTATGTGGTTCTTGTTGGTAGGACAAATGGGGGGACGCACGATTCGTGCGATTCTGTGTGCGCGCGGCAAACTGCGCGGCGGAATTCGTGATGATTCAAACGACTCTGACGCCTACTATTGGAGCACAAACTTGAAGTAGAGTGGATTAGTAGGATNAGCTGACCATGCCCAACTATTCTACTTTAAGTTCGTGCCCCAATAATAGGCGTCAGAGTCGTTCGAATCATCACGAATTCCGCCGCGCAATTTGCCGCGCGCACCCAGAATCGCACGAATCGGCACACACCGGACAAATGGTGTAGTTTTCCCTGGAAAATAGTCAGATTTGTTTGAAATTTATTTCTAATTAGGTGTCGCAGTGATGCATTCTTTAAGTTTCCCCTTTTATCATTTCTGATGTAATGAATTCTCAGATCAATGTCATGTCTCCAAATGAGGAGTGAAGCTTAGATCGTCAGTATATGGTTTTTGTAGGGTACTGGACTTTCCTCACAAGCAATTGCACGTCTGCGCGTTGTACTGAATTCCACT